TTAGCAAACAGTTTTTTGTTTCTCATAATTTTGCTTTCTTTATATCAAACACTTATTGTGCACTTATTGAACCAACTTATAGCGCAATAACCAGATCAAAGCAAATCCTCTCTTCTTTGGCGTTAATAAAGAAAACGCGCTCCAAGTGAACAGCACTACAGTGCTTGTCCTGCTTGCACGCGTCTATACCGGCTACAAAGGGGGTTTCGTAAATTGCTTGATTTTCAAGCGGGTATTCGTTCTGTAAGGCTCATTCGGAGACCTCGTGCCGAGGCCTGACCCCAAGTAAAGCATATGCCCTTTTCATAGCAAATGCTTCTTTTCCAAAGACGCGCTTTATTAATTTCCAAATATCATGAAATCTTCGCGATTTCTGTTAAAATGCATCGAATTATAAAATTTTGGAGTATTTCCCTGTTCATGGTGATTTCGTATGATGACACGTGAAAGCCGTTGGTTTAGCGAAATAGGAAGGTTATGCTCAACTGGGTGACAACTTGAAAACGTGGCAACCTTTCTTGTCAACTTCAATCGTTTATCTTTTTTGCTTTTGTCTCTTTATTTATTTCTCATTTATATTATAGTAATTCTAATTATTTTTATCTAAATTTATTAGTTCCAAAGTTAAGTTCCTTAGCTCAAGATTTAAAGAGATGATTCTGCATTTATTATCATTGATAAGATCAAGCGACCAAGTAGCTCTTCCTTTTAAAGGTTAGCCATTAAGTAGTCCCATGAGTCCACCTGCGAGAGCTCCCGTAATAGCGCCGGTTAACGGATCTGAACAGAATACGCTCTGAACAGTTTTTTTTCTAATATAAAGAATTACTTACCCACCATTCCCATGCCTCCCATTCCCCACGGCATTCCATACATTCCATACATCCCATATCCATAGTCATACCAAGGATTTGAAGGATAGATGTAATAAGGATATGTTCCAGGAGGGCATACATAACAAGGGAGACTTCTAGAGATCAGCATTAGAAAGACCAAAAGGACAGCTGTAGGCGTCATTTCTTAGATACTGTATCGAGCGATCAAAGGAGAATTACCGGGTCCCTGATTTCCTCACTGCTCTTATAAACATTTAGTTTAATCATATATCGCCAAACTGAGCGTTCAGGTAACAATAGGCATTGTTTGTTCTCAAAATCCATTGGGAATTATCACTGCAATCTTTGAAAGCAGTAATGATTATATGTTAGTTGTATGTAAATAATTTCAATTTAAAGGCATTACCTCAAGTTCTTCTTCGTTAACCTCCACGTCGAACATTGAGCCATTTGATAAGCCTATCAAATGATTTCAAACTAATTTCGTGGAATTTAACTATGATGCGGTTTAACAATAATGTTGACATATATGTAAGCGAGTGGCACTTCATGGAATGGAGGCAGAAACATCGAGAAAAATCACGAGTTGTGTGATGATCAAGCCTTTGGACAACATCATGTTTCAGTCGTCCAACATTGATAAGGATCGATTTCAGCTTTTTTTTGCGCGAAAACAATCCGTAAGTTTTACTTTCACAAAACAAAAAAACGTTTATTTTTATGAAATTTTGAGCCGCCACTGAGCTCATACTGAAGTTGACGGCAAGTCTAGGTAACATAAATCTAAGACATTGAAAAATGATAAATAAACCAGGTTACCTTCAGGTCGAACACTTTAGCTTAAATCGTTGGAATCTTGAAGCGAAGTAAGTATCTGTGACATAACACATACCTGCGATTTCGCAATGTCACGGCTCTTCAACATGGGACGAGTTAGAGCATTTCAAACCTAAGGAGAGTGAGAAAGATTTATTAGCGGTCAAAATACCCCCCATGCGAATATCTTATCGCGCAACGCAACATTTTAAATACTATTGCTGCGAAATTGTAGTACATCGATGATGATATAGCTTCTTCTAGCTTTTATGTTCCTCAAAAGTCTTACAATTTGGGGAATCTTGCTAATTTTTGACGTAAATAAGGCATATATGGGCGAAAAAAAATTCTGAGAACGTGCTTCAACAGTTATCGCTTCGTTCTTACAAACATGTGCTTGAATCACACATCACCTAGTGATCTGTTTGTTTGCAGCTTTTGTTTGCTTTCAAAGCCATTAAGTTTATATCATGCTTAAGCGTATTGACTTTTTAAAGCATACATACGGTTTTATGGGAACGAAACGGAAAGTTATATGTCTAATATTTGGAGGTCTACCGCTTTTTCATCTTTTCTCAATCGATCATTCTAATTCCAAACTGTATTTATTTTTATAGGCGTTGGGACTAGGCCTCGGCACCAGGTTTCCGATTGAACCTTGAGAGAACGAACAGACACTCGAAAATCCAGGAAATTACGAAGCCCCCTTTGTAACCTTTACGAACGCGTGCAATCAGGACAAGCCTGTAGTGGCGTATACTTGGAGCGCGTTTTCTTTATTAAGGAAAAAACAATTTAGGGCACTAGCAAGAAAGGAAGAAAGTGCTGTGATTTGGTTATTGCGCTGTAAGTTGCGTCAAGGGGTGCACAAAAGGTGTTTGCTAAAGGACGCAAATGAAAAACAAAAAAGTGCTTGCTAATCGGAGACCCGACGGCGATTTTTTCCATCTCATAATATTTCAAAGATTTTTCTAACCCTCTTCTACTCTTCGTTGCGCATCTTTACGCCAATTTTGGTGGCTAATCATTCGTACTA